TGTCTGAAGTTAGGGTACTTTAATAGCCTGTTTTCCTGAGTGAAATTTTGTGAGGTTTTTTGAGATGTGAATTAAAAATAAAGTGAGCACCATCAACGCCCTCTCAACAACACAGGCCTTGACTTTGGGAGGCTTTTGGCACTCTGATACAAAGCTGAGTGAGGCCTGCCTCTGTCAGGCACCGCCACTCAAGCCTGGAAACCCTCCCCCCCACCCCTTTGGGCTTCATTGGCAAACCAGAGAATACGGCCGGAGGGGTCGGTAACTTTCACCTTGCAGCTGCCAAGGTCATGGAGTTCTGCCACCAAGGTCTCCTCACCGGATATTTTAGAGCTGAAATTGTATTGCTGCAAACCATGGAGTATTTGAAGTATCCAACATCCATGTGTATAGATATTGTGTGTTTAAAGTGAACAAAACAGCCACACTCTCTTGAAAACCCCTCGAGCTGAGCAGTCCAGGGTGGGCCTCGGAAGGAGCAGGACAGTCAGGGGCCTCAGCAGCCACATAAGCATCATTTGGGGGGCGGGGTGCTCAAAAGAGCATCCTTCAGCTTGGTGAACCGCAGCCTGTGCCCAGCGTCAAGGACAATAGCTGAGTTACATCTTGAAAAGTACAATAAAAACACAGGTGCCAACGCAAAAGGTTGTCTGTCCCTGATGTGCCACAGAGGCTCTCCTACAGCCTGGGACTGCCCTGTTCCCACTGGCGAGGAGCTGTGATCTAACCTGCAGGGAAATCCAAGCACCACTCTGGCAAAGCTGCGGTATGTCTCCGGGTTTTGCTTTTAAAAACACAGACAGACACACTCATACACACCAAGTTGACCTTGGAATATTTTTCTAGCTGGGACATGCTCACATGTTTTTGTTAATAAATTATTATCATCACTCTGGTCAGTCAAAGGGGCTCTATTCCCCAGCCCTCTGAATGTGGGTTCGAAGAAGAGCATTATGAGGGGGTGCGGGGCGTGGAGGGGAGGAGGCAGGGAGAGTGGTCTACCAAGGTGCGCCAGCTATGGCTTCCCAGCAGGCTGGGCACTTCAGGTACAGGCCTGTGGGCTGTGGGAGCCGACAGCGGGCAAGTTGTTGGAAATGGGCTGTTTCAAAAGCATGCCCTCCATGGCCAACGTATCACGCCTCTCAACTCAGGTTTCCCCATCAAAAATGGCTGGTCCTCTAACGCTGTCCTACAAGCATCAGAAGTAAAACTTCTTACTTTAGGGTGAGAAATTGCAGTGTGTGAATTTGTAGCTGCTTCTTCGAACCCCCTACAAAAACCAAGAGCTTGCTCCCTCCCTACAGATCAGATAAACCAGTTACCAACGTGATACAGGGGCTGGGGAGCCACTGCGTGCTCCAAAACTCTCAGCGAGACCAGAGACCCCTCTGCTGTGGAGAAGACACTTCCACCCAGGAGCTACACGGAAGAGCCCTCCCTTTGTAGACAGCACATGCTGAGGGCCGTGAGTGTGCTTCACATTTTAATTTGTAAATGATCATGGCAAGCATGCTTCTGCAGCTCCACGCACCCAGCACCGTGTCATTCTCAAACGGAGGCACAGGAGCAAGTACCCACTGTGTGTTTTGCACGTTTGACCCAGGTAATGTTCTGCATTCTCTCGCTTGGCAAAAGCAGTTCCCCAGCCCCAACAATTAAACGTCTGTAGCTTTGCCCTGCACTTTGAATCTTAGTTCACATACCCAGCCCGATCCGTTTCCACCTCCAAATCATTACAGAATGCTAGCAGTTTCGATAATGTCAGCTCTCAAGTTAACTTGTTGCTTTACTCGGAATCACTATTTCCTATTTCTTTCATTTAGGTAACTTGAGACTACAGATATGAGGAGCAAACTCTTTTTTGGGGGGTAGTGGGGGTCGAGTACTTTTGCAAAACAGAAAAGTAAGTAGCTGCCAAAATAGTAACAGTCACAAATTTCATGAAAAGTGATACAAAAATAAGTATGCTTTAAGTACGTATATACAATTATTGCTTAACTAGCGTTTTGCAAAATGTCTGGCTACAAAAAAAAGTTCCTTTCTCCATAATAATTGTTAAATGCATTTAGCGGCCCAGGCATGCTTAGCCCGGTAGAGCTTTGAGGTGTTTGTCTAGTTCATGTGGACTCCCCCCAGAAATCTTTTGTCCAGAGAACTTAAGAAAAAGCAAATGTTTGGGCTCAAATTACAGTTTCTTCAATTTCCCATTTTGTTTTATTAGTACAAACCTGATGGTGCATTTTCTATGTCTAAATGTGAGAGCTCACAGATTTTAAAAAAAAAAAAAAAACAGAATTAAAATGCTTTTTAAAGTGTCTCCTTTGCTTATATTACTCCCAAAATCTTTCAGTCCTCCTAGTTTGAATACCAGTTAAAGCCAAATCTGCACTTTTCAAACTTAGTTTCAAAGAAAAGCTCACGGGCTGGCAGCTGGTTGATCTTGGAGCTGAGTTAGAGAAGGATGTCTCCCCCTCCTCCAGGGAAACCCCCTGTCTGGGCCCCTCCTCACAGGCTGGGACAGTCACAGGTGCCCTGACTGCCGAGCTGGGGACGCCAGCGGCTCCCTCCCAGTCACTTCCAGCTTCCCTTTCTCTGTCGCGCTCTCTAAATCTCCTTGGGAAAATTGTTAGTAACCAACTAACTGCTCAAAACCGGTCAGAATTTGCTCTTCACTGTTTTAGACGTTTTTCACGTAGCTTTTTATCCTATACCAAAATAGAGTTCAGTCTTCATCGCGATAGCTGAAACTCTCTGGGGCAAAAATATAAAAATGTTCTCCAACTATGTTAAGTAACGTTATACTAAGAAGTTTCAAGCTCAGTTACCTCTAACCAACGGCTATTTTGTATTTTCTTTTCCCCAACAAGCCCTTCAAAGATAAATCCAAAATCCTTCTATAGCCATAGGAGGTGCCAAGGTTAAAGCAGCCATTAAATATAAAATGAAATAAAAGAGATCATCCACGCCTTGACTAAATCTCCAGGATCTTGAGTTTTACTTAAAAGTCAAAGCATGTATCAAGTTGAAGAGCATTCATTATTTAATAGTTAATGCCTTAGGATGCATTTTATTTTCCTGACTGCTTCCCCAAGTATGCAACCTGAATGGTTGCTCCTAAAGTAACTTATTACATACCTTTAATAATTTTAAGGTGCTTTTGCCTCCACAGCCCAATCTGTTTTTCAGCCCTATGTACACTTCACTGAGAGAAGTGGACCAATCCTTTTTTTTTTTTTTTAACTGTTTCTTTCAGGGCCATTTCACAGACATGGATGGGTGGGAGATGGGGAAGTCATTGTACTCGTATTTAAAACCCTGTGTTGTGCGATGAATTCACTGGTCGTGGTGAATTTGCACAGAAAGGTTTGCTCCTTTGGCAAGTTTGAATGAGCAGATTTGCTTTGGAAACAGCTACATTTTACTCAGGACCTGCTAAAGCGAGTCAGTGCGCCCCCTGCTGTCAAGCCGCTAGTCCAACTCCTGAGCACTTCCAAAGTTTATTTTGTTCAGTAAACCGTGTCATATAAAATTAACAACCACCAATAAAATTAGCTTATATATTTCAACTGTAAAAGTCCAAAACAAAATAAAGCTAGTCTTAGTGGCGCTAGAGATCTCTGGTCTGGCTTCTTCTCGGCTGAACCCAGGTCCTTTTATCTAAAGCCCAGTGCACAAACATATAGCTTAATGTGACTAGTGTTCTTCCTTTTATTTCTTTCTCTATGGCAACCAATATGCTCTGCTCAGAAATGTTCCCCATCAAGGAAACAAATGATCTTCAGGGAGCAGCTCTATGTGGCATCTGGTCCAGTGGAGCACAGAGAGTTAACCCCAGTCAAAGCGGGGCTGCCAAGCAGTAAACAAGGGCTGGGGACTGGGGGTCCCAGCCCTCTCCCCACTGCAACCTCTTCCTCCCTCCTCACACGCCATTTCATTGATCTGGCATCAACTGTTGCCAAAGAAACTACAAAATCTAAATGGCAAGGTGTTCTGGATACAAAAGTGCAATAAAACTCTAGCCATTTGACTCTACCCCCTTGTCACCCGGGCAAGGCTTCCTTTCAAAAGAACAAAACCAAGCAGCTTTGAGAACTCACTCCAGCCCATTTCACAAAGGTAAGGTGCCCCCACCGGCTTGGAATTGTTTGGCTATTTCCTCCAGCCATATTTATCTAATTAACTCATCTAGCTAGTAACTGCAACCTTAATTTTTACAAAAACCCAGGGGCAGTGGCCAGGAGGGGGGCAAGGCCCACTGTCAAATATGAGGCACAGAGTAAAATCCAGTTTTCCAAGCGCCAGCTCCAGCCTTTGGCAGGAAAGGGTAGGGTGCCCTGGTTAGTTTTGATTGATCACCCTCTTCTGACGGACCCTCCACCAGAAGCTGGGAGCTGCACGGCCGCCAGCTCCCTGCGGTTCTAACCCGGTGCAGGGCTTCCTGCCTCTTCTTCCTCCCGCTTCCTTCATCTCAGCCCTTTGCCCTCCCTGTGCGGCGCCCCCTCCCCTCCGCCCCTGTTCCCAGCAGGAATCCCCTCACCCAGCCCCAGGCAGGCAGTCTCAGTTCGCCGCCGTCTGCACTGGCTCCAGAAAGGGCACTTCTTTCCCTCTGCCCCTCTGTTTTGTTTTGTGTTTTGTGTTTGTTTTTTTAATTCTCCAAACAAGAAACGTTGATAATACCGGGAACTTTATAAATGATTCTTTTCTGGGGCCCTTCGCCTCCTCGCAATCAGCAATTAAAATTGATAGCACCCTCCCCCACCCCCAGAGCGCCGCCGTGCAGCAGAGCTTTGGAAGGAGCGGTCTTTTTATACAAAATTTTAGCAGGGGACGGCGGTTACCCACCCCCACCCGGCACACTGACCTTCCCGCTTCCAAAGGTCACTCTGATTCCTCTCTGGTCCCCAGCAATGAGAATAAACCCCCAAACCTGCAGGAGCATTAACACAGAGAAAGAAGGGGAGAGAAGGAGAGAGCAAGGAGAGGAGATGAAAATCACTTACCGAACAAACTTCCGGGGTTAGATTTTAAAATAAAAGATTTTTTTTCAATCGAGTGGCTGGAGGTGGTGAAGGCATAGTCTCAACTCCCCAGAACGATGCATCCTTAGTCTTCCCTTCACACTGACTCCTCGGAGCCCAGCTCTCCACTAGTCTATTATTTTCACCAAAATATATGAAAATGTATGCAAATGAAAATCAGCACTAACTGTTCTCCCCTTGTTATATACTTTGGATTTTTTTTTCCAGACAAAACAATCACACTCGCAGAGGGAGGGGGCCAGTGCAGCGGGGCTGGGGGGCTCGGAGCGGCTGGGAGCTGAGCAGGAGAAAGGGGGGACGGAGGGGACCAGCCTCGGAATAGAAGTGTGTTCCCACTGGTTTGGGGGCTCCCGCAGCACCCGCCCCTCGCGGGGGAGAAAGGCGCGGGTCTGTTCCGAGAGGCGCTATCGCATTTCATCGGGCCACCTGAGACCGTTCTGAAAGCGTGCACTGTGAAATCCATAGCGGTAATTTAGACAAAATCCTCACTGTATATTAATGAAAGACGGCCCGTGGCTCTGTCCCTATCCTCCCCATTCAGTGTAAACAAAACCACGAGACTCCGGGTTTTTGAGCCGGATCCAAGCAAAATCGGCAGGAAAGGAAAACACGTTGTGCTGGCACCGACTCTTCAGACATCTGCACCTGGAGACCTCGGATTTATTCAATGAGATCTGTGTTCCATTTTTATATGTACATACGCGCATACATAAATATAAAAAGGAACCTTCGGGGACGCGGAGGGGGAAATCCCTGATGTTTGGGGTCAGGGTGCTGCTGCTTTTCACACCTACACCTTAGCAAGAATGGCTTTGCTAAAACCTACCTACGGCGGCCTCTCTCCCCGGCGGGCAGGAGCTGGACCAGATCCCGCATAAATCCTGCTGAGGCGGCCACTGTTCGACCGGACCTCACGCAGAGGCTGCATGGCCGCGGCGGGGCTCTGGCTGAGCTGAGTTCCCTGACTAAGCCCCGCAGAGGTCTGTTCCCGGGGAAGGGCAGCCCCGCACGGTTTAATGGGAGCATCCCGGTCCCCAGGTCCGGGCGGCCGCCGGAGGAGCGGGGAGGCCGGCGCGGGGGCCCGCGGAGCGGGGGTGCGGGGGGCGCGCGCACACTCATTGGGAACGATGTATTTATTGAATGTCCGAGCTGGGTCAGTTCATTGGAAATCCCCGAGGACGGTTCAATTTGCCCTTGTTTTCGTTGCCACTTTCTCTTTTTGCTCGGTTCGCCTAGGCTCCTCGGTGCAGCGTTTCCGCTCGGTCGCGCTCCCCACCCCCGGCTCCCTCCCGCCTCCCCCGCACTCCCCCGCCCGCCCCCTTAACCCTTTCCGCCCGGCCCATCCAGTGCACAAACCCTTTGGAGACAGACAGAAAGAAAAGCACCTCCGTGCCTAAGCAGAGCCAGCAGGCAACCCCGCCACTGACAGCCACGCCGAGTCACACACACACACAGTGAGCTCACAGCGCACAGGTAAGCGGCGGCGGCGGCGCGGGGACCGAGCCGGGCCGGCCCCGCTCAGCGGGAACTCCCCGAGCCGCCGGGATGGAAACACTTACGGGGTGTCTATGGGGGAAGGCCGGCCTGGCTGCTTTTCAAACACCGCGCCGGCTGCTGGTCCGCACCCTCCAAAACCACAGGGGCTCCAGGCTACCTGCCTGGCCCGGAGGAGGAAGGGGGAGGCGGCGGGAGGGCAGCAGGGTGGGGGGCGAGGCCACCTGGGCGGCGAGCGGCCCGTCCCGCGCCGGTCCCGGCGGGAGCCTCCCGGACGGCGGCCCCGGGAACCTAAACAAAGGGGCCGGCGCGGCGGCTGCGGAGAGTTGCGGTGGCGGATTTCCGAGAAGCCGGGCCACGACCCGAGCCATGGAAGCTGCGATCTCCCCTTTCCCACCCCGCTGGACGGAGGCGGGGGCCGGCTGGAGGCGGAGAAAGGAAACTTTGGAACCACTGGGGACACCTCTGTCCATAGGTGTTAGCTCGGAAGGTGCATCCTCGCCGCAGGGCGCTCCCCCGGTCTCCGGGATGGGAGGGGCGGGAGGCTGCAGCGCGACGCCGCCCTGGGTGGAGCGGGTTGGTGGCTGTATTTCGTGCATTTCCCCCTCTTTGTTCCCCTCTGACTGCCCCCCTCTGTCCCTCTTCTCTCCCTCTCCGCCCCTCCTGCCAGGCCTCCAGCGAGCGCCCCGGCCGCGGAGGGCACGCCTGCAGCTCGGCCGGACACGAAGAGTTAAGATGCGGCGGAAGGGGTGGCGGGCGCGGGGCGGGGCGGAGAGAGTGGCGAGGGGGCGGGCGCCGGGGGGACCGCGGCTCTCCGGCGTCGGCGATGCTCTGCCTAAATTAAAAAGCAGCCAATCGGAACGGCCGGAAGGGGGGCCTCGCGTCCTGAGCCAGTCATTCCGGGCCTGCCAATCACCCAGCAGGTAGCCAATCAGCGGGGGCCCTGGCGCTCGACTTCCTTGTGTTTGGGAAAGTGTGGTGGTGGGTGCGCGCCCGTCGCGGAGGGTAAACATTCGACAGTCCCCGCTCCGAGAGGGAGGGACGGAGCGCGAGCTGTCAGATCGCGGCGCCGGCGGCGGGCGGAGCGGGAGAGCGGGAGGAAGAGGGACCGTGAGGGAGGAAGAGAGCGCGATCGGGGCGCGGAGGGAGCGCCCGCCGCAACTCCGCTCCGCACGGCCCGCGCCCTGCGAGCCGCACAGCGTGCCCCCGGAGTTGGTTGTGTACCAAGGATCCCCTATATGCACACACACCCCTCCACCTCCACCAATGCACTCTTCCTCCTCCTCCTCCTCCTTCTCCTCCTCCTCCTCCAGACAACTGCTGGGGGGGAAATAAAACACCAGCCCCAACCTTCAGCAACAAGGTAACAGTCATTCGACCTCAATTTTTCTCCTGTTGAATTTTTTTTCCTTGTTATATTTGTTTCCTCATTTCTGCCCAAAAGGAAAGATGTCGCATCAATCTGTGACTGTTGCGAGGAGGATGAAGAAGGACTCTTGTTTCAGAAGCAGCCACGAGCTCCGGCAATAGCAACTGCAGAGAGATGCGGCGGCGCTAGAAGTTTTCCCAGGACAGAAACAAACTTGGACCGAGAGGACCGGACGGGAGAGCGGAGCCAGCCTCTCCGCACGCCGGCAGCCAGCACCGCCACGCCTTCGGGACTCAGAAAGTTTTCTCCTCCGAGGACCAGGGGCGAGATGTGTTCTTGAGGGGAGCGGAGCGGCCACGGGAAGGAGCCGGCCGGCTGCCGGCCATCGGTAGTCTGGTTCGAGAAGAAAGGCTCGGCTTCTCCCTTTGTTGTCTCCTGTGATCGCCCGAGCAGGTGGAGCGGCCCCGGCCGCAGAGCCCACGCTCCGGGACCCGAGCAGGAGCGGAGCCGGGACCCGCCTGAGAGCCGAGCGCAGGCCCGCGCCGCCCAGCGAGCCCCGCTGGAGCCGGCCGACCGCGCCGGGGCCGGGGCCGGGGGGCGGCCGAGAGCCCCCGGGCATCCGGGGGGCGGCTGAGGAGCGCGGCCCGCGAAGCCAGCCCCGCGCCGGAGCGCCGCTGCCGCCGGAGGCCGGCCCGCGCCCCGCGCCCTGCCCAGCGGCCTCGCGGCTCCGGCCCGGGCCTCGGCGGCGGCGCGGGCGGAGGCGGCGGCGGGGCGGGGGGCCGCCTGGGGCCGCCGGGGCCCGGGGCGGGGGCGGGGCGGGGCGGGGGGGCGGCGGGGGGCGCGGCGGCGGCGGCGGCGGCGGCCGCGGCTGCTGCGGCGGCGGCGGGGGTGGCGGCGGTGGGGTGGCGGGAGCGGAGCGGCATGGCCACGGCGGCTTCTAACCCCTACCTGCCGGGCAGCGGCCTGCTGGCGGCCGGCTCCATTGTGCACTCGGACGCGGCGGGCGCCGGCGGCGGCGGGGGCGGCGGCGGGGGCGGCGGCGGCGCGGGGGGCGGCGGGGGCGGCATGCAGCCCGGCAGCGCCGCGGTGACCTCGGGCGCCTACCGGGGGGACCCGTCCTCCGTCAAGATGGTGCAGAGCGACTTCATGCAGGGGGCCATGGCCGCCAGCAACGGCGGCCACATGCTCAGCCACGCGCACCAGTGGGTCACGGCCCTGCCCCACGCCGCAGCCGCAGCCGCCGCCGCCGCCGCCGCCGCCGTGGAGGCGAGCTCGCCGTGGTCCGGGAGCGCCGTGGGCATGGCCGGCAGCCCCCAGCCGCCGCCGCCGCCGCAGGGCCCCGACGTGAAGGCGGGCGCCGGGCGCGAGGACCTGCACGCGGGCACCGCGCTGCACCACCGCGGGCCCCCGCACCTCGGGCCGCCGCCGCCGCCGCACCAGGGCCACCCCGGGGGCTGGGGGGCCGCCGCTGCCGCCGCCGCCGCAGCTGCCGCCGCCGCCGCCGCCGCGCACCTCCCGGCCATGGCCGGGGGCCAGCAGCCGCCGCCGCAGGGCCTGCTGTACTCGCAGCCCGGCGGCTTCACGGTGAACGGCATGCTGAGTGCGCCCGGGCCTGGCGGCGGCGGCGGCGGCGCGGGCGGCGGTGCGCAGGGCCTGGTGCACCCGGGGCTGGTGCGCGGGGACACCCCGGAGCTGGCGGAGCACCACCACCACCACCACCACCACGCGCACCCGCCGCACCCGCACCACGCCCAGGGGCCCCCGCACCACGCCGGCGGCGCGGGCCCGGGCCTCAACAGCCACGACCCGCACTCGGACGAGGACACGCCGACGTCCGACGACCTGGAGCAGTTCGCCAAGCAGTTCAAGCAGCGGCGCATCAAGCTGGGCTTCACGCAGGCGGACGTGGGGCTGGCGCTGGGCACGCTGTATGGCAACGTGTTCTCGCAGACCACCATCTGCCGCTTCGAGGCCCTGCAGCTGAGCTTCAAGAACATGTGCAAGCTCAAGCCGCTGCTGAACAAGTGGCTGGAGGAGGCGGACTCCAGCACCGGCAGCCCCACCAGCATCGACAAGATCGCGGCGCAGGGCCGCAAGCGCAAGAAGCGGACCTCCATCGAGGTGAGCGTCAAGGGCGCGCTCGAGAGCCACTTCCTCAAGTGCCCCAAGCCGTCCGCGCAGGAGATCACCAACCTGGCCGACAGCCTGCAGCTGGAGAAGGAGGTGGTGCGCGTGTGGTTCTGCAACCGGCGCCAGAAGGAGAAGCGCATGACGCCGCCCGGCATCCAGCAGCAGACGCCGGACGACGTGTACTCGCAGGTGGGCCCGGTGAGCGCCGACACGCCGCCGCCGCACCACGGGCTGCCGGCCAGCGTGCAGTGAGGCCCGGAGCCGCCGCCGCCACCGCGCCCGCCGCCGCACCGGCCGCCGCCCTCCGCCCAAAGACAGCGTGCTCGCCCCGGGAAAGAAAGGAACGACTGGCCGGCGAGACGGTTTCTTCGGCCTAGAGAAGAGGACAGAACACACGCATCATAGCACCAAACGGTACACACAAACAGCACCGGAAGAGGAGACGGGGGCGACCCTGGGATCTCGTTCATACTGTGGTGATGTTTCGTTTTTTGTTCTTGTTTTTGTTTTTTAAAAAGGGTGAAGATGCCTAGCGCACCAAAACTGCACTCGTGAGGGTTTGCCCGCCCCGAGAAGCCCCCCAGGGCGACGGTGGACAGCGCCCAGCACCTGCCTCGTCCTCTCCTCTGGGGGGTGGGAGGGAGCCCTCCTTCCCCTCCGCCAAAGGGCTGCCTAAGTGACCGACCCACCGAGCGAGCGGAACTTGGCTTCCTGGGAACCCCTGAGAGAACCAGAGGCACCGGCTTAATCAGGGATGACTGCTGGGAGCCGCTCTTCTTGGCCATGGCCATGTCCGGTCATTTGGGGACAAATACACTGACTATGAACCGGGAAGGAGGAAAAAAGAACGGTCTCCAGCAAAAATAACATGCACAGCTTCTGAAATTAACAAGCTGAAGAGCAAAGCCAAAAGGATGCGTTTCCTTCAAATAACCTTGGAAATAAAACCATCGTGGAAGAGAGAGGGATAGGCCGGGCGCAGGGGACGTCCGCTCTCCTCGCGCGGAGGGGGCGAGGCGGGCAGAGCCTTCGGCCAGGCGCAGACTGGGCACCGGGATGGAGCTGCCTCAAGATTCCACCGCTAATACTTTCTATTAATATTTTTTATTTTTTATTTCTGGACCGACTCATAAAGGGATTTAGAAAGACTGAGCACCAGCCGCCGCACGTCTTGGACTTCGCTTCTCAGTCCGTTGCCAACTTTGATGGAATGGGTGCCGTGGCTGTGATTATAATACTGCCATTTCCAAGCAGTGTTTTTGGTAGGTTTTAATAAACAGACTTTTCAAAAGACGGCAATATAGATTGTTAGATCCGTTGTTGATCTAAAAATATTTGCTTTATATTTTCATTAAATGACTTCTTTTAATATTTTATTCAGAATACTTATGAACTGCTGCAAAATGGTAATTTATTTTTTCCCCAGATCTTGTATTACGTGTTTTTTTCAGACGAGCACAAATCAAAATGAAATGAAAATATGGACAGTTGTTAGGTAATAAGGGTATCTTTTGATGTGATCATTTGATTGTAATTTAATTTGAGTAGTGATTCCGTAAGAGCTGATCGAGAAAATAAATTTGTTAGAATGAAATAGTCTGTGTCTGATGCGTAAACACTGTGTGGGAAGAAAATAGCTAGGGAGTATTTTTTTGCTAACGCATAACCTTCAGCGATGGCGCTGAGGCAGCCCAGGCGCTGCTGCACTGAGGTGTGTTTGGAAATCTGGAGTGAAGACAGTCGTGACAGAAATGCTAGCACTCCACCTACTTGGCACTCTTTGGTAAGCTGTCAGTTCCACCACCTTTTTCTTTCCTTAATTTTAATGGATTTTTTAGGGGAGTATTTACTACTTTTCTTGGAGATACCTGTGTTTTTCATCATCTTTATCAAAAGATTGAATTGCATCACCAGTAAAAATGTGCCAGCTGGTTATTAATGGTTAATACAGAGCCCTCTCCCAAACTTTAGCTTCTCTTTTTCTTCTCTTCCCCCACCATATTGCTATGTCTTTCTTCTTTTTCTGAGCACTAATAGTTGTGAAGACTAGCTTACAACTATTCCATTGATGATTATGTAATTGGGTTGAAATTATGAAGCCGTTTTAGGGTTTGTCTTGTTGGTTTGTTTCTGGAATGAAAGAAGGGAGCTCTAAAATCCTGCATTGCTCCACACTGGTGGGATTGCCAGCTCAGACCCAGAAGCCTGCATGCCTGTGTTTTGGTGTTTCTCCAGTGTGATTCTGTACCTCCTTCAATGACAGGGGTTTTAGCTTTTGGATCACTCCTTAGACACACCCAGCCTGCAGAGCGGTCACATTTATCACATCAATGTATCAATATTTACCGTGTGGGAAAGTGAAAGTGTGATGCCTCAGGTTGTGAGTACTAACGACTGCTTAGTTGAGTCCTTTCACTGGACTTTTAAAAAGTATTTGGGGTGATAAAGCAGTGATTTTATAGGATAATTTCCCCCTAACCTCATTTAGCTGTCACTCACTTTTTGCCTTCTCTCATCCTTACTTCCTCCCCCTAAGATATCAGTGCAGGGGTTAAAAAACCCGGAAAGCTGTGTGAGCAACAAGGAGCAGTTATTCCAGACAGACCCTGTGTCACTTTCATAAATCAAGCCTGGCCAGATGGCCTGTATGGGGTTGCATTATTTTAAACACCAGATAGTACTAAAAATCACAATCATTTTGATTTGTGAAATCTGAAAAAGGCCATATTTATTAAACAGAAAGAAGAAAAAATGAAAATAAGAAACCACGATTTACTTTTCTTGGCTTTCTTGTTTCCTTATTTCTCTTGCCATTGTAACCGCCCTGCCCAGCAAATTTAAAACCTGGAGTGGATATCAACTTCCTCTGAGTCTGAGGGTCTGCAGGGGCAGGCAAAGGAGGCCTGTTGGGAAGCTGAGGATTGGGTGTGGCTGCTTTAATGATGGATGCCACTGGCACGTGAGCTGAAGTCCTGTGCCCCAGCAGAAGTGGTAGTGGTCGATTAGACAGTGGGTCTGTATAAAATTTTAGGAGCCGTTTGCTTACTCGATTTGGCTAACAAAAGAACTACCATTCAATTTCACACTGTTTTCTATTAAAATGCAACCTTTGCTGATTACTTTGGAAGAAGTCCTGATTTAGGGGTAACAGAGTAACTTTTAATTGGAGAAGCTGGAAAAGCAAGACCATTTTATTTCATTATTTTGCATTTTTAAAGTGAGCTAATGCTGCCACTCCATATTTTGAAAATCAACCCTTTGAATGTATCTACAAAATGAAATTCATGGTTGAAAAACAAAAGAGAGCAGATATAACTGAGAGGTTGGTGTTGGACTTATATTGTTATACACGCAAATAATGAAAATATTGTTATACATCACCAGATCTTTTTAATGAATTTGGTCATTGTGTTTCTTTGCAGAGCAAGTGTCTTGTGCTTTGTAAAGTATCCATTTGTTTCCTCCATTTCAACCCGGCCCTCCTCCCCTGCCAGCCCAAAGGAGAGTGACAAAGTTCTGTTCCATCAATCTGGCTAATCCCAAACCAGGCCCATTTGTAGTCTGCAAATTCCTGTGGCTCCTGACCTGTGGTCCCAGCCTCAGCCACCTCATTCACCCAGCCATCTTCCCCTGGAATCTGGGTGATAAATCATTCAAGGTGTATGTAAAATAGTCATTTGGCTGTTGTTACTCTGCCCCTCCCCCCCCCCTTTTTTTAAGTCCTTAGTCAAGGACGGCTTCTTTGTTCCAAAAGAAAACTGTTCATTCTTGATCTTAGAGTCCCTCAGCTTCCCTGTAGCCTCCAGGGTTTGCTCACTACCATGCTCATAATGTTTTGTATGAATGGGTTCAAAAATCAGAGAAAAATTGGTTCTAATATTAAATGCAGTATATACGATTGATAGTTTTATCGATAAGTGTAATATTTTAAATAATTTTAACAATTAAATTTGTTTTAAAATTATATATTTGTAAAAGTATTTATCTTGTTGGAAGCAACAATATATTGTTGTATTTATTCGTTTATTTTTGTAATAAATGATCAACCTCTCAAGCTAAATCAAAAATGACACTTTTATATATTTATAGAAAACGCATTTTAAGAGATGGGCATATTTGCACCAATTTGTATGTAAATAGAGTAAGATCCATCAATAATGTGTAGCTTTCAGAACTAAACTGAAGGCAGAAGCATTCTCTCCACATGGAGTTCAGTTTGCCCAAGTTCCAGGGCAATTAATCAAACTCTCAAATGGATGCAACAAGTATTGGCACTGGATACAGACTTGAAATTAATTATTTAGGAGGTGGACCTGGTTTTTTTCAAGGCAGAAGGGTAGACATTAAAGAATTCTTTCATGAAATGCAGTGGCTGCCTGGACAGATTAAAACTATGTAGTACCTGGCTGTGCACAGACCTCTTTGCTGGGGAAGGTGTTGGAAGAAAGTTGAGACTTGGAGGTCAGTGGTGACCCAGAAGCCAGGTACCGTAGTGAAAGGAGTTGTGCTGTGTTTTTGTTCAGTGTCTTCTTAAAACGCTGTGAGTGGAAAGCTCTCCTTGCCCAGTACTGACAGCAGGAGAGGAATCAGTGCGGTGTTGTTGGAGGAGTGATGGGGGAGGAGTGTGGGCCAGCTCTCCGAGCTCCTAGCCTCTTGGCCATCTCAGTTCCTTGCCTGATGCCCCCCCCCCCCCCCCCCCCCCCCCCCCCCGTGACCTCCTGGCTGTGGAGCCCGCCGTGGGCTTGATCTTGATTTCAATAAGGAAGCCAGAGCGTTCTGGGTTTGCCTCCTGAACTTTCCAGGCTAGGAGAGGAAGTCCTGCGGAGGTTGCAGAGATGCTTGGGGTGGGGGCAGGGGAGACAGCAAGAAGGGTACTTGTGTAATCAGATTCTTTGATTTTGTTAGCCTGGCTCATGGCCTATTAATTAGATTACTCTCTTTCCTTCTTGATTTCACATCCGTGTTTGTGGCAGCATCCTGAGATGTGGGCGCGCGTGGCCGGCAGGAGCCTATGATGTCACTGCCGGCCTGGGCAGCGGCCTGGCCTTCTGGCGGGCCGGGGGCTGCGCCCTTTTCTGAGCCAGCTCTGGGGTGACCTCAGAGGCTCTGGGCGGCTGGCCTTCGCGTGGGGACATGGTGTGTGCGCCAGAGTGTGTGTCTGTACACGCGCGTCTGTGGGTGCAGCGTTGAGGGGGGGGGCGGCTGCGGAAAGTCGCAGCCTGATCCCCAAGCCCGGGGACGCAGAGGGCTGCTCAGGTGCAGGGCTGGCCTCCGGAGCCGATGGAGATCAAAGGGGCGGAGGGCGGTGCTGGGTCCGGGCGGCGAGGGGGGGTGGGGGTGGCGGCCGCCGGTGGGGTGGCGTCCCCGCCAGACCAGCTGGCCAGTCGCACAAGTTGTTTTCCTCGTGGCGGCGGCCATTCAGCAAAACGCACGATCCTTTCTCAAAGATTTAAATTTCGCGGATGAATTACCATACAGCGGTTGCTTAGCAACTAAATTCAAGCAGGGCTAAGAATATGCAAGCTTTTTGTGTTCTCATTAATAAAAATGCCACTCTGACACAGCAACCCGACTTTGGATCACTGCAACTTCTGTAAAAGCCGTAGGAGAATACAAACCGATCCTGCCATTTAATTACAGATCAAAATAGCTTGAAACGCGGTGTTTTGTTCATCTATCTTCCTAAAAGCAACGTAAAAAATAACGGCTTTTCAGAAGCAGTAGTAAATCTTTTTTTTAATGGAGTTTTCCATCGGGGTTACTGTAATTGCCAAATGAAACTTTTTAAAACGCAGGTCGGAATGGCCTTTGCATCACCCTTCTCCTCGCCGGGCCCTCCTCCGTCCTCTCCGCCGCCCACAATGACAATTGTCAGGTCCTGGGGCACTGGGCCTGGGCGCCACCGGCCTGGAGGGCAGGTGGCGGCAGCTCGGCCCGGCCGCGGCTGGAGAAAACCTCAGAGGCGGGGAGAGCGGAGGGGAGCGGGTGGTCGGCGGGGAGGCTGCCGGGGCAGGCGGGGCCGGGCCGGGGCGCTCCCCCTGGAGCGGGAGCGGGAGGCGCGAGGCCGCCGACCCCTGCCGGGCGGGCTCCCCTGCGGAGGCGCCCTGCGGCTCCAGGCCCACCCGCTGCCGCTGCCGGAGCCCGGAGGAGGGAGGAGCCGTCGGGAAGGAGCGGGACCCCTGTCTGCGGCCCAGGTCGCCCTCGGGGGCCCAGCGGTTCTCCCCGCGGTCCGCGCAGGCCGGAGGCGCTGCCCGGATGAGGGTCCGGCCCTCCGCTGCGGCTCAGCTGCGGGGCCGCCGAGGTCAGGAGGGCGGCGGGCGCGGCAGGGTGTGGGGTGAGCGGGGTCCCCAGCCGGCCTGCGGGGCCGGGGCGGGGCGAGGCCGCTGGCGGCTCTGCACCCCGGGGAGCCCGAGGCGCCTGGGGCGCTTCTCTGCTCCGCGCCGGTGGGAAACCCGAGCTCCCGAGGAACCCGGGGTGACTGCCAGGGCCCGGCCGCACAACACCCCCTCCCCGCGCCCCGTGTCCGCCCAGCCTGCGGGGTGCGGAGCGGGGCCTGCGGGTGCGGAGCCGGGCCTGCGGGCCCTGGGCTAGGTG